TGAAATCAACAGCTTTGCTCTGTGTATCATAGGTATAAACAACAACTGTATCTAGCAGCTGAGCGAGAATGGATTCTGGAACAGAGTAAAATGCAAGCAGAACTGGACTGGCAGCAGCTCTGTGAGAATGGTGAAAGTAATCGGTATCAGAAATCAGAGGATCTGACACAAAGCCTGTCTTCAGCAAGAGAGCAGGTGAGAATTTCAAATCAACACTGTTTAGGAACCATCTGTTGCATAGAGAGCTATGGAGTTTTTTCATCATGGTGTTTCTCAGGGGAGGCGTGACTTCAGTCTTCTTTTCAAAAATCTGTAAAACAGTAATTTTGTATTGTGCACAGCAGTCATCAAATATATTTGATCAGAGACCAAATTAATTTTCATGGACAATCTCTAATAGCAGCCTTTTCTCCCTTGTAATGAAGTCAAGTCAGCTTGAGAGATACCACTGCTTTTCTCTTGACATTGTAGCAGCAGAAGAAAGATCCCTCTTAGAGCAGCCCCAGGCCAAAAAGAGTTTCAGATCACAGTACAGCTTGAATTCTATCAAGGGAACAATATTAGTCCTGGAGAACTGGAAGTATTTTTGTACGGGAAAAAAAATCCTATTTTGTGAAGTGTACAAGCTTTTGTTTCTGAAAAATGAAATACATCTTGTATTGTTTTAGAGACTATTACACAATGGGCTAACGATAATTCTCAATGACCAGTTGCCTAGTAAATTCAGGGGTACAGAGGAAACACTTGTTTACAAAGTTTAGAATGCAGGCATTTACTTTGGTGGTTTATTTTACTGTTGTCTTCCCAAAATGATTCATAGGCATCAATAGGTGTAGCATAGCAACACATCTGAGAGATGAATCCACATTGTCCATTTCACGTACAGAAGATGAGACAATGAAGCCAAATTATTTTTCTGTGAAGGCGATTTTTGACAGAGCCAAAAGGGGATATGCTTTAAGTCCCTGTCCTGTGATTTAAAATATCTTTTTCTTTGATTTCCTTCTTTTTCTTTTCTTTTCTTTTTTTTTTTTTTAAATCTCTACACCCTTTGTCCTTGAGATACTGATGTCCTCTGCTTTCCCTCTCTTCCCTCCCTCCTAGGTTGAAGGTGATCTGCAGAAAACAGATTACAGGTTGCATGAAGTGAAGACTCTTCTGTCTGGTCTGACTGTTGAGGGAGAACAGACAATACAAGCATCATTTAATCACGGTATTTTACCTGAAGGGAAGAAACAGGTTAGACAACACTTAATGTCTTGACTTGGATGAATTCATTCTGAGATGACAACTTTATGGGGCTTGTTTCCACTGGACTTCTTGTAAGCAGTTCATCTGTTTCATATGTTTAATTGAAAATATAGACATATCTAGCCTGGAATACACATAGATTAGGTGTCACAGGCTTCATTATGGCTCTGATCATAATGCCTCACTGGCAAAAGGAGCAAGCTGGGTGTAGGCATTTGCTCCAGAACAGGACAATGTACCATACCACCATGGCACATCAGAGTGGGAAGAATTAATTTCTGGAACGTTCCTGAGGCTCTGTGTTAGTTGCAATTCAGGGTAGATTTTAAAGTTATAAAGTTAAAATTTTAAGGCAATGCTTCAAAATACTAATTTGCCAGCTGTTTAAAATAACGTCTTTCATTTTAGTATCACAAACTAGTTTTCATTGCTACTTAATAAAATACATATATTAAAAAAAAAAAAAGGCCATTCAAAATTGCAAACATAACGCTGGTTTGAAGCCATACTGGAGGATGACGCATTATGAGTAGAAAATCATGAATGAAAGTAAAGAGTGTGCTGCAGTGCGCCCTACTGGGCAGCTACAGATGCTCAACAGTGAGCAGTTAGAGTGTATTGTCAGAGCTTGCTGATAAGAAAAAGCAGTGTTAAGCAAGCCTAGTGGTTTCTGAATGCAGAAAGTGTTGTATTCAGAAAGATACTTGCTGAAAACAATTTTTATAACAAATTAGACAAAAGTAGACTGCTAGCAAAAACTTACTACGGAGCAAGTTGTTTTTCCAATTTCATTTCAAACTGGACTGATTTGCAAATTGATCGTTCAAATACCAAGAGAATCGGGTTTGGGGAGGGATTCTTCTTTCACTGTTGTCTTCTACTGTAACTGACTGTTACTGTTGTTGGCAAGACTTTGTTTCATTGTCACACTTTTCTTTCTGTTGTTAATATACTCTGTCTCTGTTTTGCACTTTTGGCCTGGAGGATAAGCAGTACCCATCTCAGCAAAATCATTTTTGTCTCTGATTTATGTGGAGGGCCATTGTTTAAAAAACAAATAAACAACAAAAAAAAGCTATTATTTTGAACTAGAACCTCTTCTCTCAATTTTTCTGTACAAAATGAACTGTAAACAAACAGAAGGGGGAAGTGATTAAAAGCTTAAAATTTATAACATTTGTGTCAATGAGCCTTCTTAAAGAAGGAATAGTATGTTGGCTAGCCTCTGGTTTAGATGACTGAAGCAAGAAAGATTAAAGTTTAAATACACCCTAATACAGTATCCAGCATACAGGTCCTTTCTTCAGATTGGTCTGAGACCCCATGAGGGTGCTAGAAATATTGCAGTAGTCATTCTTGGCCTTCAATTAAGCAACAGAGGTGTGAAACACACCAGCCTGGAAAATCTTGCTTGTAACTGATTTTGAGTATGATTTAGGTCATGTCTGCCTAACTGGAGCATGCTAATAATACTCTACAAGTGCACAGATAAGAAAAGATTGGTTACAGTAATTCTGGATGATGATGTGGTCTTCTGTCTAGACCCTTTTCCACTAGCAAAAATCTGGAACAGTTGTATTTCTGGTTCAAACTGCGATGGTTCGTGTGTATGTTGCAGGTAGAGATGAAGTTCTGGGCCCCAAAATTCAGAACACACCTGGGTGATGTATTGGTACCTACTGGTGCCTTTCCCTTCATGCCTTTTCAATCTCCCTTTCCCCTCTCCTCACCTTGACAGCCTTGGAGAGGTTGTAAAAGCAGAATAGAGATTATCCTCATCTTCTGCATACCCTGTACTGTTAGGGCAGAAAGCGCCACAGCAGAAAGAGGCTGTAGGGCAGCCGTTGTCTTTATGACAGAGAAATTTAATTAGAAGGCCATTAGCGTTCCAGGTCACACTCACAGAACAGACTTATGGCTGGGGAAATAAGGGGACTGAAGGAAGTGGGGAACAATGGAGAAGACAGAAAAGGAGTAGTGTTTGAGGCTGTACAAGGCATAAATGTTGGGACTGAAGTGTTTTGCTGACACATGTACTATGTGCAGGGCCTCATGAATTGCCTTTCCCTCTCGAGAGGCAGAACTGCTGCTTTGCAACAATTTAGGGTTGAATACAAAGGAACGGTTTTTGGGCTCAGAAACATAAATTAGCAGCATTTGATACAAAGACATTAGGAGGTCCTTTCCTTTTCAAAAACATCGGGTCTGGAAGGTCTGTGAATTAGGATTCATTTAGTGACTGTAGGAGTGTATATTCCACAATTTCAGGGCTTTCTAATACTCTTGTACCAAATAGTATCTGCCTTTCTTAAATGACTGATGATAAATGTTTCCATCAGCTAGAGAGGATTTTACAGGGGTGGAATCTAAATTCTGTATTCTCTGTTTGGATGAAACCACAGTTATAATACACTGCCATCAGTTGAATGTAACTTCTTTAAAAATGTTTGCAGTCGCACTTTGAATGAAGAAACAGCAGAAGTAAATAACGTCAGGACCCCTAATATCCTGGTCTTGTATCCCATTGGTCCTACTAGAATTTTTTCCTGAAGATTGTACTGGAATTTCAAGTGACCAGGGAACGTGTTTTCCAATCAATGTCTGTGTGTTTGGGTTTTCTTGTCACATCTGGTTTTCCTTTTTCTTCCCTCCCCCAAAGTTGCAAATTTGGAAATTGAGGAGGTGCATGAGAGGAAGCATTTCTCTATTTGTCCTTTTTCCTATATTTTTCCTAAGCATATGTTGCTGACTATTGTCAAGAATTGGATTCTGGAGCTAGCAACCTTTAGTGTGACAGAGTAAAGCAGTTCTTAAAGTTTGTGATCTAGAACGTTTCACATTGTTGTCCTGATTAGCCATCACTTCATTCACACAGGACTAGAATTAATCATAGAATCACAGAGTGGTTTGGATTGGAAGGGACCTTTAAAGGTCATCTCGTCCAACCCCCCTGCAATGAGCAGGGACATCTTCAACTAGATCAGGTTGCTCAGAGCCCCGTCCAACCTGACCTGGAATGTTTCCAGGGATGGGGCATCCACCACCTCTCTGGGCAACCTGGGCCAGTGCTTCACCACCCTCAGCGTAAAAAATGTCTTCCTTATATCTAGTCTAAATCTACCCTCTTTTAGTATAAAACCATTGCCCCTTGTTGTGTCGCAACAGGCCCTGCTACAAAGTTTGTCCCCGCCTTTCTTATAAGCCCCCTTTAAGTACTGACAGGCTGCAATAAGGTCTCCCCGGAGCCTTCTCTTCTCCAGGCTGAACAACCCCAACTCTCTCAGCCTTTCCTCATAGGAGAGGTGTTCCATCCCCCTGATCATTTTTGTGGCCTCCTCTGGACCCGCTCCAACAAGGTCCATGTCTTTCCTGTGCCTAGCTCTCCAAACTAAATCTCTAAGATAATCTTTAAGGCTGTGGGCAGCCCATGGAGAAAACACTGAGCAATTCCCCTTCAAAAAAATAAGAAATAGAATGATTCTGGGATGTGTTACTCTATAAGCAAGCTGCTCATATTTTACTGATATAAATTATATTTTTTACAGTAGTTAAAGCAGCTTTGGCAACCTGGGTTTTGTCAGCTTCTTCAGTTCTGGAAGTCTGTAAGAATGACATTTGCTCATCAGTTCATACTTCCACCAAGTATAATTCCAAAAGTCAGGCTTCAAGGCCTTTGTGAAGGCAGAGCTTCAGTCATTATCTGACAAATGTTCCTTGTACATTGTTCACTGTTAGCTTATCTGTAACTAATGCGCAAAAAGGAAGACATTGCTACTTATTTTAGAATTGAAGTGCTTAGAGGTTTTCTAGATGTTTTCCATTGTCCAGGTTGTCTAGATGTAATCCATACACTCCTTCCCCTTTTCCAGTTTAGTAAAGGATGTCCAGCCTCTTTATGTTCTTGTGAACAAATGATCTCCAATGACACTTTCAAGAATTTGGCAGGTCAGAAAGGGGACTGCTGTTGAGCCACTGAGTTCTTTATGGAGATGGGTTACCCATGCATTGAAGAGAGAGAGATAGCACACTTCAAAGAACAACAGTGATAAGACAGAGCCACCTCTGTGGCCAGCCTCCTTCCCCATCTCAGGTTCTCATTGTAGCACTTTTTTTCCTGGCAAATCCCCAGAATAACCAGATCTCTTTCTTTTCTTCCTATGGTTCTTTTCTCCCAAGTCTGTTCATGGATTGAAAGTATTAGGATCTGTGTGTGTGCTGTTGTGGAGAGAATACGTGTTGCTCATTAATGAAGGTTGTTATTGTGTTGTACTTTTATTTTACAGATATTTCAGTATGATGATAAAAGTTCTCTGAGCAAAGATATTCCTACCTTGGAAATAAAAAAGCTGCAGGAGCAGAATGCCAACCTTCGGGCTGCTATTGCACAAATGAGGAAAGAAATGGAGAGTCTCTTTTTTTTTTCCTCTGACAGAAAACAGACAGCCTGCAGAGCAAGGTGACAACTCTTGCCACAGAACTCGAAAATTCAGTTAAGGAAGTGTAGCGGTCACGGTCATGACCTATGAGGGCTGTCCAACCCACGGGTGTGTAAAGATCGTGACCATGGGGTTCTCAGGGTTCCACAATACACAAGCACACAGAGGTCTGAGATTCTGAGAATTTCTTCATTACAAATTACTACAAAACTATTATTAGTAAAAACAAATATACACACACACACACTGTAAGTCACTACAAAATTATTGCTAGGAAAGCAAATGTATATATACATTGCAAGAGTAAAGCAAATATACGTATATTACAATTTATTACAGAATTCCAACTAGTGAAGCAAGTATATAGAATCACAGAATGGTTTGGGTTGGAAGGGACCTTTAAAGATCACCTAGTCCAACTCCCCTGCCGTGGGCAGGAACATCTTTCACTAGTCCAGGTTGCTCAAAGCCCCATCCAACCTGACCTTGAACATTTCCGATGATGGGGCATCCACAGCTTCCCTGGGCAACCTGTTGCAGTGTCTCACCACCCTCATTGTAAAAAATTTCTTCATAGAAGAGGTATTCTGGCCCTCTGATCCTTTTCATGGGCCCCCACTTTAACAGGTCCATGTCTTTCTTACAAACCTTTACCTGTGTACGTGCCTATAAACATAGTATGTGAGGTGTTATTGGTATGACAGTCAGCAAACCGCTCCCAGAAGTGGGGCTAATTGACGATGGAAAAAAAAGTCTCACTTCAAAGATGATCCACATTACTGAGTCCGGAGTCAGCCAGGCGTCCCCAGTGAGGGTCCAGTCTGTCCAGGAGATCGCGTGCAGGGAAGCTCTTGCAGAGAGGCTCATTTTGGGTAGGTAGTGAGTTACCTTTTATACTTTTTTGGTGTAGATGTATAAGTGGGCATACGGCATGAGTTCCAGGTATAGTTGTTGCCAACTCCTGTTTTCCTGGAAGGTCAGTTTGTTATCACAGTTTCTTTGTCCTGCACCCATCAAGCTTTCTTTGTCCTGCCTACTACAGCCAGGGCTAAGGAGATACCCTTCTTTGTTAGTATGTTTACCGGGTGGCCTTTGTGGTGGCTCCGTCAGGAAGCTAAAAATTTAAAAATATCTCAATATTAAAAATATATAATACTTCCAAATGCATCCCTTTACCAGATATTGTCACACATCAGCTGGGTGATTTTTAGCATCTCTTAGAAACTTTTCAGTATATCATCTCTTACACTTTCTTTTTTACTTTTTTTCGTTATCCTTCATGGGGAAGTCAAAGCTGATAACATTAAAAAAAAACCAAACTGCAGAAGGTATGTTCATTACAGCTAGATGCATTTTGTAGTAAATTTCTGAAAAATTGTTGAGTTTGGTTTTGATTGGCTCTCATGCAGACCTGATTAGAAACAAAACTGGATTTTTTTTCTTCATAAACATTCTTGTGACTTTTGGAAGTCTGGAGAAAAGAGGAAAGGAAATCAACTGTAACTTGGTAATGGAATAACCAGCTCTGATTTGTTTTGTTTTGTTTTTTTTTAAAATAGGCAAGGTATAACTTTTTCAAGGACATCTTTTACTTCTGTGGAATAAGTAGCCCTGTGTTTAGCACCTTTTATCAGTTATGTAAGTGCAGGTAGACAGCTGCTTTATGCATCTCTGTGCCTCATCTATGTAAACGTTTAATTTCTAATTGCTTCAAACTATTCCAGAGCCACCATGCGTTGTTTTCTGTATTTCAGAAAAAATAAGATGGGTTTGATGAAACGTATTTTCTTGTACCAACTGTTTTGCTGTCGTTACGCTTCTCTGTTTTAATTTTGCAGTGAGACTGGGTCTCTGTGTTACCAGTTTGCAGAATTAGTTTTAAACTGTCATTTGTACAGTAGCGTGAAATTGTGAGCTAATTAAGTGTGCAGGCATTTTTAATAAATATAAGCATATTCTAGCTTTGTTAATAATGAAACATTAATAACCAATTAAAGCAAAACCTCTGTTAAATAAAAAAACAAATTCAAGCATAGTTTTTTTGTCACAGGCAGCTAAAGTTAGTCCACTGTTTTTTGAAGATGTTATAGTCCAATATGTAAAAGATTTACTGCTGCTAGAGTTTAGCAGTGTCCAAGAGAAGCAATAATCTTTGTCAGCTGATAACTGTAAGTTTTCAGAAATGTATTATCCATTTTCTTTATGGCTGAAACACTGTATTCAACTAAAATAATCTTTCTTGTATCCCTTTTAAAAAGGTATGGAGATTGTATTCAATCACTAAAAGATATGATAATGTTAAATCTGAAATTTTTAAGACAATGGGAGAGTAACTTGGAGGGGTGCTTCTGGTTTCCAGAAAGTCATCTGTTCTTTCCCCTGACTTGTCTATATACATCAGTATGTTCAGACTCACATTTTTACTGGAACTAAAAGAAGAATTTTTCGGGATGAACTTCCGTTTATTGGTGATTTTTTTCAACTGATTGAAAGAAGCTACTGTGTCTTAATTATTCTTGTTATACTCAGTATTACCAGTTTCCAAAGAATGATTAAATAATGCAATATTGGAAGAAATAAAAACTTCTCTGTGCTCCTTACCCATGAATTGACCTTTCTAATGTGTCGTCTCTAGTCACTTCTGTATTTTGTAGCTGACTGATGTTTGCGTATTGTGAGACTATACTGTTTTTTATATTTCTTCAGCTCTGTTTACAATATATCTCCTGAAGTGGTCTACATGTATATTAACGAGACAGAGTTCTGAAGCAGCTGTGGCTATGAAAGCCTAAACTCTGTGTAAATACATATACATTCATATTATACTCCTCTTCTCTTTTAGGTTCATTGTGCACAAACAAAATTCCAACTGGAACCGCTTTAAGCAATATCAAAGTCAGCTCAACTAACTTGGATTGCATAGTAAACCCAGACACAGAAAAGGTATGAAGAGGTTAAAGCTACCTGAAGTATCTGTATGCACGTGTGTGTGTAATTAAATACATAGCATATTATTTTTGTTTGAATAAATATTAAAAACTGAAGCAATAGATGCTTATTTGGTGGTCAGTTAGTGATGAGTGTAACTTAGATGAGAGCCAGCAATGATTTTTTCAGCCAAGCTTATGCTCATTCTTTCTAGGCAATAAATTTTGGCTAGTCATTCCCTGGCACAAGTCACTCCTCATCTTTCAAGCCCTTCTTGATATTTTTTTTCCGCTTGCAAATTCTTAAACTATTGTGTGCCACCTCTTCAAGTTTTCCATTATAAATCCATATTTTAGCCTTTTTTTAAAATACCAAAGACCTTTCAATATGCCTTGTAATAAGGTGCATAGAGATGAAACTGTAGATACTGTGTCACGACTGGACTCTTGACAAGAAGGTCCTGTGGAGCCTTGGTTGGAGATAGGTATGCAAATGGCATTGCATGCTCTGTTAGGGGGTGGGTGGCTTTTCCTGGGAGAACCTCCCAACTGCCAGCTCGTGGGGCTCGCTTCCGCCAGGCCCGCGCTAGGGCGTGGCGCG